GCCAATATCACCCAGTGTCCCTGCAGATGAGAATTAACAAATGTATTCCAGTGGTCTGCAGACTTTCCTCTACATACAGCATTAAGAAACACATTAAAACAGACCAGTTTCCAGACTAAACTAATGAAATTACAATTCAGTGCAAAATATTTTAGACTGCATTTCATTCTAGTTTTCCTCAGGTGAAGAAGTGGTTGCATATTATTAAAAATGTAACAAAAGCAGCTAATGCTTTTCATAAAGAATATTACGTTAGGGATCCCAACCCACCCACCTCCCCCCATATCTGCCATATTTTGAAAACAAAATAACATTTCCTATAGCCAGCAACTTTTTTTTAATGTTACATATACTATTCTCAAGGCACATCTGATGATATATTTAACACAGTAGGTGTCAAAGTATGTTTAACATATGATTTCTTCAGGATCCCTCCCCTTTCTGAATTCCAAATGGAGGAACTGAAAGTGCGATGTAAAGACTGGCGATCCATATTCTATCTTTGGCAAGCTTGTACAAGCACTATTGTAAATGTAATGTAAAAGAATTGTAAACTAGGAACTTCTTCAGTTTATGAAACACCATTCAGGACTGCTGCTTCTTGAGGGTGTTCTTCTTTTAAGGTATTAATCTTTTCTTCTCCTGGAGTACGCTGTAGCTTAGGAATTTCATCGCCAGAAGCACTAGTTGGGCCATTTATTGCCTTTTCTGAAGGACCATGCTCTTCAATCACATCTTTTGCCTGCCAAAGGGAGAAAACTTTTTCAACTTCCTTATAAATTAAATCTATAGTTGTGGAGGAAAATAGCTACATAAACAATCAGCTAAAATAAACTTCAGTTTCATATGTCATAACAAATCAAAGAATTAAAGTGTTCTTAATATTTAAAATAAATAACAATTACTCCACTCCCCAGGTCTTTCAACTCTGTATCTCTAAGTACCTGAAACCTATACCTAATGTATTTTAAACCTCTGGGAAAGCTCACCATGTAAATGATATAAACAGCTAATACCCTAAGTAAAGCAAATCATCTATTTTACTCACCTTTTTTTCTTTTGAAACTCCTATTTATATAACATCAAATCCCTGAAAGCATTTAAAGAATTGAAACTTAGAAGATCTATACCCACTACTGAGAAAAGAAACATAGTTTTTGGCTCACCAAATTAAGTCTAAACACCCAGTATTGTTGGGCAGACTAAATTCTACAAAAGCTATTTAGAAGTTTGATTTGGAACCTATTTCTGGCTCAAGCATGCATATCTTCATTATCTGGGGCCACGAACAAATTCAAAAGTCTTTTTAAACTATTATTTGTCTTTTTGGGGAACAAGTGATGATACATTAAGTTAAGTAAAAAATAAATCTAAACCCCCCCAAAAAAGGCAAAAAACACCAATAAATGAATAAATAAACAAAAAAACCTACACGTTAAATTCTCCTTACCATTTCTTTCTTGTTTTTAGCCAAAGTTTCCCTTGGGAGGTTTCTTTGTCTGCTCTGAGACTCAGCTCTAGAAATATAATCTGCAACTGTGACTGTTAAAGATGAGAAAAAAATTACAGGTGTTGAAAAAATATTTCTAAAGTTTATTTATGGATAAAGAGTAATTTCATGATTAAAATAAGCTAATGGTGGATCACCCAATTTCAAAACATTAAGATGGGTACCACCTCCAACCAAAAAAACAAAGCTTGTAAAATTTGCCTATGATTTTAGTACTGGCAATAAAAAATTTCAAGCTGGAGATTGAGGAAATCTAGACTGAAGTCCTCTTTCCCAAGAATCCAGCTATTTCCTTCCTGTTGAAACTAAGATTGTGGGACAAATTATTGTAAAGACCCACAACCAAGCAAAAGAAGAAATGCAAGTGCAGTGTTCTAAGTCCAGACAGGTGTTTGCAATTATTAGTGAAGAAAAATGGGGCAAATATGTGGAGGTCATGATGATAAATTTGAAAATTTACTTTTTGCCTTAAAAAAAAAAAAAAAAAAAAGAGGCACAATTAAGATATCCAAGTGTGGTATTTTGTGATGGTTTCATGTTAAAAACCCTATTGATTTAACCATCTGGTTTAAAATAAGAACAAGCAACTAAGGATAACTAACCCCTACCCTGAAGATGTGAACATTAATCACCCTAAATGTGTGGACACTGATCAGGCGTGGGAAAGGGTCAGACTGAATTCAGTGACCGCCCCCTCTCTTTGCTAGGGACTAATTTTCTTTTTATATTTTTGGCGGTAGTGGGTTTTAACTCAAGAGCTTCACACTTGTTAGGCAGGTAGGGACTCTACTATTTGAGCCCTGAGAAATACTTCTGACAGAGAAATGTGTTTTTGCAAAGAAGTAGAGAAAGGAGATTAGGAGAAGGACTAACCCATGTTCACTCCCTACTGCTGTACAAGTACAATGAATGATCTCTGCTCTATAGGAACTGTGGACTGGTCTCAGGACTTAAAACTTAGAATTTGCTGATTTGAGGAAAAATAAAAATAACTACCCTCTTTCTTTCAAATAATTACATTGGACCAAAAACTGCCTAAGGAAATCCCTGATACGTAAAAATATAGTATTTTAAATTATGTTAAAAAATGAAAGCAAGGAAAATTATTTAAAGTCACTAAGTATGAGAGAAATCCATTAGATTCAACTTACTTGGTCCTAACTCCACTTTGACATAACAAAAACCTGAATAGTACTTACACTTCATTTTTCTTAACTATGAATGTGTTAACAAAATATCCAAGATCTTTCTAGGAACCATTACTTAAATGCTACTTTCCTTCAAACTTATAAGAAATTCAGTATGCTCACTTTGAAGCATTGTAACTTTTATCATTTAAATTCATTGGTAAGGAGTTTATAAATAGATTTAATCAATCTACAATATTGGGAAGAGGAGATATTATCACAGTCTATTTCATCATTATGTCTACCTACATGTTGACAAAACCATTTTGAGAATGATTCTAGCCAGTTTAGGGAGCAGCATAATGAGTGCTGTTTCCATATTGTAGGCCTCAGTGACACCTGAAAAGATGCATTTACTTCAAAACCCTGCTGCATACACAGGCATACTGAGAAATTTAAGTGTTGAAACAATTCTTAGATCCTTTCTAAGTATTTCTGCTATGTACATAGAACAATATACCATGATTTAGTTATGAATTAAAGAGTTATCCCCAATAAAAGGGAGTGAAAAGAAACTTCAGACAGAAGAAAAACCTGTTTATAGCCTACCTTTATAATATAAGCCTCTTAAGTATACAATACAGACTAATTTACCTTTAGAAAATCTAAGTAAATATAGGCAATTTCTGTAGCATAACTGGGCTCTAGAATTTCCTCTATGTTGTCCAAGAATCAGCTGACACAACTACTGTACCATTTTAAATAAAAACTGCTTAACAAGAAATCTGGAGCAAATAAAAACAAATTAAATGATAGTATTTTTAAGAGAATGTTGATTAATTTTAAAAGGAGGATGCCTCCTTCTGAACTGCTGCTAGGAACAAGAAACAATTTTCAACCCACCTTGTGTTCCTATGTTTTGTGAGGGAAGGAAGCCGAGGCTGAGTTTTGGCCAAATGTTAGACATTTTAGAAGAGGAAATGCAGTAATCCCTAACAGAATGTAACAGGAACAGATGCAGCCTGCAACATTACTTACTGTCAATTATCAAACCCTAAATTTACTCAAGCTTCAACCAATACCTTTCTGAAATAGCCACCTCTTTTCCAAGAAATCTTACTCTAGTCTTTTTTATCTGCAGCCCTTTCATTATGTTTTAAGTTATTTCATGTTAAACCCATATGAATACCCTGAAATTTTATTTATACAGCAGGGGCAGAAAATCTATTCACTGCTCTGCCACTCTCAAAAAAATGAAATTACTAACACTAAAAGAAGGAAAGAATAGAAAGGGGGAGAGGGAGACACACATTTTCTAGACACTTTGTTTACTTGACAGTTTTTAATTCCTTTTAAAATTTCCATCTTTAAAACATGAACTTTTCAAAATAGGAAATTATATTATCTAACTAGCTTTCCCAAATGTCTCTATAATCACTAAACTCAAAGTATTAAAGATGCTAGAATTTATGTTATTTGGAGAAATACATGAAATAATTTGTTTTGGAAAGAATGCAAAAATTAGTTTAAAAGGGGTTTATTACTAGTGTACACAGTTTCTTCATAGTGACTATACATGTAAATCTCGATACACAGCGAAGAGAATTATGTTCAAAATGGTATGGACACAGCAAGCAATTTTCTTTGCAGTTCCTAAAAATCATTACTATATATAAAATTAACACACTGAAACTAAGTAAATACTATTAATTTGAATAGTTAGTAGGTGTAAAGGAAACAGGTGTCACACTATAACAAAACATGCATCTTATCAGGAAAAAGACACTTCAATATTTTCCCCTTTTATACTTCTTCTATAAACTGGGTATTACAATTTCCACAAAAATGAGGTGCTGAATCCAGGTACAATAAGCAGGCACCATGCAAAAGCTGCCCAATTTTGTCAATCAACCTAAATTACACGCTTCAACATAGCTCCTGGGAGGGTAGGCCCCACCTCAAGTGTGAAAAACTTGCCAAGGGAGGTAAAATAATGGCCTTCTTAATAGTACTTCCATGTAAAGAATTAAGACACAATATTAGTTAACTTACAACAGTTACTAAGCATTTACACAGTGAGAAAATGCATTTTCTTTAGTAGTATTCTTATTATTTGAGTAAACAATTTATGCAACGCAAATTTTGAATGTATATGCACACATGTGAATATGTAAATATATTTAGAATGCAGACATAACATTTTTTCCATGCTTGTGACCTGATATCAACAGGTTCACTCTAGTTACCTGGCTGTCTATCTTCTGCCTGACCCCTGAAACGACGCCTGCGGCTACGATTGCGTCGCTGGGGTTTTTTTTCACTATCATCTGTAATGGCAAAGTTTACCATGAACTATTCTGACAAAAAAAACAAAACAAAAAAGTCTTTCCTTATTTAAAGGGAAAAGAGAAACTTTTAATTAAACATGAAAGATACAGCATACAATACTGACAGTAAATACACTGTGGCTTAAAGCACTGCAAATACATTAAAGACGGAATTATCATATGGACTAAAAGGGTTATAGTTAATAAGAAAGCTAACTCTCAGACTTAATTTTAAATTACCACCAATTCAGGAGTAGTTTTCTCTCCAAGTTAACATTTTAGCCCTTTGGAAATTAATGCTCACTCATGACATATACCCTTTTCAATAAAGTCATTTATAAACATTTTAAAGAGCTAAGCAGAAAGCTCAATTTTCATTTGGGGACCACAACAGCAGTTGAATTTTTATACTGATTTAACGCATCAAAGGGCACTTTAATAAATCCTCCCAATGTCAAATAATGACTCTGACCAACGTGAAAACTAGACATTTAAGACAAAAAGCTATCTACCTTGTTTGAAGTCAATGCTAAGAAAAAGTATTTGTGAACTGCGTAATTTTTTGAAAATAGCTGTACACATTAGCAGTATCATACAATTACATACGTGTGTGTGAATAGGTATCTTTTCCCTATGTGCTTACATACCTAGCCCATTCTCATTAACTGAAGCTGTATCAGATTCAGTCATTCCATCCATCAGAACAGCATCTTCATCAGTCCTTCGTCTACGAGACCGCCTACGACGGTTTGTACTGTGATGAGATTCGCTGGCATCAGTGTCTGCAGTCTGATCTGATTCTGTGTTATCAAGTAAGCTGTATGGATTGCTGTCTGGATCTTTGAGCACTATATTCATGTCAGAGGCAAGAAATATTCGTTTAAGAGGGCTGCAGTTATGAATGTTTTGATCTATATACTGAACTATATCAACAGTAAAGAAACTTCAATTTCCCCCAATAAAAATACATTCAAATCAAAAATGTTCACTGTATTACTATTTTACCTGGAAAATAACAAAGATGATTAAATATGGAAAAACTAAACGGTGAAGAAAAATTATAAAGGATAAGCAGACATCTCAGCTTCCTACTATTTTGGGAGGAAAAAACTGTACTAATATTAAACATGTATACTCTTTTCCTGTCATTATTCCTTAAATACAGCATGACAACTATTTGCACAGCATTCACACTGTATTAGGTAGCACAGGTAATTTCAGGATGATTTAAAGTATACTGAATGACAAACATGGGTATTATACAAACACCATGCCACCTTATATAAGGGACATAAGTGTCTATGGGAGGTCCTAAAACCAACATCTGATGGATTCGGAGGGATGACTTATATCAGGAAATAGCACATTAATACTAACTCTGACATTCACATTCCAAGGTAAACCTACCCAGAGGCTAGAGAAATAAGAATGAAGAGAATATTTTCTAGTATGAATTAATTCCAAGGAAAAGCTTTTAAAGTCATTGGTGCTACTTTGTGCTGATGTTAATGAACTATTTCCAAATAATATTCAACATCTATGCCTGTTAACTGAAATTAATCAAAACAAGTCTACACAAAGCAGCAAACTAAGGGTGAAATTCTAACAGGTAATGAAAGCATATTGTACTCCAACTCTAGAAACAATGTGTGAAGGTGAGGTGAAAGTGGAAAAGGAGAAGTTTCAAGACATAATACAAAAGAAAAATACCCATCTTACCTATGTGCATTTATTGCCTCCAACAATCAAATTATAGAAGAAATTCACCTAATCACGATTTTTTCCTTTCTAAGTTTCCTTTGGTAACAGCTAGCAAGCTAGCATCTTTGCAAAAGACACTAAGTTTATCCATTAATCATCAACACTAGGTAAAGTACATTTAATTTGCAATTCAGCATAATGTAATTTTATACTTGGTAACAGTGCACAATGAATTCAAATATAAAAACTACTTTCCCAAAGGTTTGCAAAAAATTTAGCACCCCATCAAAAGAAACCGAGTAAATTACAAAAAAACAAAAACCCTCCCTTAATTTTGTTTTGATCCAGTCTAGTTTTTGTGATGTATATATACACATAGATTTAATGTGCATATACATATCTTAGTACTTATAATACCACATAAGCTATTTAACGGGTATTGTTATAACACTAAGAAAAGTGTGGTTTTCTTGAAGGGGCATAACAAATAATGCTAAAGTTATACCCTTGAAATAATTTAGTACACATATCCCTGGCAACTCTCCCATCTACCCCATTCTGCTCAGACAGAGCAGGTATTTTGGCAATGTAGAATTCTACCAACTCCACATAATATAAGGCATTAAAAATTTTTCCAAATGACACAAGTAAAATGTTGCTTGTACACCTCAAGTCTTTTAGTCATCTGTATACTCCTCTTTACAGCTCAACTCCTCTCACACAATAAAATTTCCTTAAGAGTTGACTCCACAATTTTTCTGTTCTCAAAGCAGTACCTAGTGCAGTAAAAAATGCTTGTCAGTTAGTTTTCAATGTTAAGTATATGAAAGTCTTTAGATCTCTGCACATTAAGAGGTTCTGGATCTGTCTGGCAAACAAATAAATACATTACTTGAAAATTTTAGAGAAAGAAAAATATTCTAATAAATAAGCCCCCCAAAAATGAAGGGATAAACATCTGATCCTCAAAAAGAAAATCAGTCAACTAAAAGTTCTGACCTGAATATTCTAAATAAATCTTCACTGAGAAACACTCTATGGCGGGGGAGGGGGAAAAGAAAAGAGAAACACTCTACATAGCTTTTCCTATATTGACTGCTATATAGTCCACTATTTTCTCTAAGACATTAAGTAGAAACAAAAACTTCCATGAATGGGTGGTCCTGGGAGAGGAATTAACTTTTGAAAGGTTATACTGTTTACAAAGAAAAGATGCTGACATAGTATATAAAAGACTACCAGAACTGATGGAAGATTTGCCACCACGTGGTCCACCACGACCTCGACCCCCTGAAACACTTCTGCCTCTTCCTCCTGGGCGTCTCCTGCTGTCACGCTGATGTCGGCTCTCTCGATCATCTTCTCCCGCCAATGACCAATCACTCAGCTCGTCTTTACGTTCAGACTCTGTTTCGGAGGGGTTAGACAGCTCAGAATTTGTACCTTGGGAAAGAATAACACAGGCCAATTATATTCCTATTTAAAAAAAAAAAAAAAGGTTCTTAAAAATTTTCAAAATCATTTCCTGTATTGTTTATAAAGCATACTAACTTCTTCCCTGTAAAGCTTAATAAAAATAAATTTAAAATTTATTAACTAAACTAACTAGTATAGTATCTACTAGTCCAGATCAAAAGAATGAATACAAAAAACTTAACTATTAAAATGCACTTAATATGGAGATATTCAAAGTGTGTTCATTAACTTTAGGTTTTAATAACCTAATTATTAGTACAATGGATATAACTACAATCCAGTATTTTAAAACAAATTTCATCATGTAGAAAAATACTTTTAAGTATACAGCGATTCTACCATTTTATTAAATCTGGGGTGTCCTTTTCACATTTTAACATCTAAAATCAGGAGAATTCTTCAAAATGATACTTTCTTATAAGCTCACAGCGCATTTTCCAGTGGTTGAACAAAAAGTGACACCACGTTTTACTACTACCTCAAATTAGAACAAGACTGAAAAGATCTTAATGTTTCTAAGACCTCTTCTAAGATCTACCACCACCTGATAGCTATGAGAATCAAAGCCATGACCAGAGATGAAAAATTCAACATGACTTAAAAATTTTGCATAATATCTCTAATATTCCCACAACCTTTTTTAGTAGTTACCTTAAAAAATTTAAATTCTCCCAAGATTTCACATATTGCAACGAAGTGTCAGATAAACCTAATCCTAATACTCATTCCAAAATTTCTATTCTTTATTAGTTTTGGCATGCCTCTTCTTTTTCCATCCTCTCATACATTAATATTACAACTTCTAGCTTCAGACCAATTTAACTAAAAAATTTTATTTCATTAAAAGCACTGTATATATCATCCAATGTGTTGTTCTTAACTTGTTCCCATGAAGAATTACTACAAAACTGCCTATGATAAAAGACAGAACTCTGTTTTAGAGTTCAACATGTTCCCACACACCTAGTATTACGTCTAACAACTTTTTTTCTTGGTAAATGAGTTTGCTGCATGATTTTGAAGTTCATTTGCTAAACTCCCAAATAAGATTTCACAAAATACCTTAAAGGTACCTTATTTAAACTCCTGGGCATTTGACAATAAAAGCAAAACACAAAAGCTCCCCTTTTCCCAACTTTACTGGTACTGGCATTTGAACTCTGGGCTTCATGACTGCCAGCTCCACAAGAGCTCTTCAGACAAAAAATGTAATAATATAAAGTGTGGAGAATAAAATGTAGTACTTAATAAATAAAGGCATCTACCAACTTCCTTTCTCCTTTAAAGATACTCTGCAATACATCCCTTTTCTCCCATGGATATAAACTATGGTCAATTATAGAAGAATGGGGTAGGTAATTAGCTGGAAATATACTTTAGAAATACATCAAGTTTCTATTATTCACTTTCAGGTCTTTGCTGGGAATGAGAACCTCATGGCAGGGAGTAGAATTTTCCTTAAAACTGATTTCTCTAAGTGACCAAAAAAACCACAAACCACTATTAAATGAATGCCACAGATTTTTGGAATGAAGGCAATTTTTCATTTCATGAATGCTGAAAAAAACTAAAGAACACAAAAGAACCTGGCTTTATTCGCAAACTTCTCCCCACTCTGAAAATATCAAAATGAGAAGTTCAATAAAGAGTATCTTTTTTTTTGGTCAATACTGGGGTTTGAACTCAGGGCCTACACCTTGAGCCACTCCACCAGCCCTTTCTCTGTGATGGCTTTTTTCCAAGATCTATTTGCCTGGGCTGGCTTCAAACCAAAATCTTCCTGATACCTGCCTCCTGAGTAGCTAGGATTAAAGGCGTGAGCCACCAGTTCCCAGCTAATACCTTGGTTTTGAAGATTTTCACAAAGGTTCCTGTTGAACTCTTAGAAATTCAGTGTAGTATTTGTCTAACTCAAGATCAAAAGAAAGAAATTTTTTTCTTAAATTTAATCTAAATATAATATAGTAAACCCACCTTATTTGATGATTTATTGCACATGGTTCTGACAAGTGTGGTCAAAAATAGTAAGTCAAGAGATCTCAAAAACTATTACATGGCCTAGTTGAGAAGATTCATCATGTTTTTACCACCTATGCATAATGAGCTGCATGAACCATAAGCCAAGAAATGAAGGAGTCATAAGAGGATGGCAGTATTAAGGGAAGAGATTCTGTCCTAGAACCTCCAAAAAAGGAATGAAACCTAGCTGCTACATAAAAAGATTACACCAGTTAAGACCTAGGTTAATTTCTGACCTACAGAACTGTAAGATAATAAATTTTTGTGGTCCAAGCCTACAATTCTGTGGTAGTTTATTACAGCAGCCAATACTGTTGAGACTACTACATCCATTTCAACCTCTCAGTTTTCTAAAAGATAAATTCTGGATCTCAAAACATTTTTAGAAGAACTTTATAAAAACAATTCATGCTATTCATCCAAATATTAATGAGTACAACAAATAAACCCAACTTTGTTTTTAACCAAATTTCAAACCAGACATTTCTCCTTGCTAAATATCACTCTACCAAGATGGTTCTCGCTGGGCACCGGTAACTCACTTACACCTGTAATCCTAGCTATTCAGCAGGCAGAGATCAGGAGGACTGCAGTTCAAAGTCAGCTCAGGCAAATAGTCCACGAGACACTATCTCAAAAAATCCCACCATAAAAAAAGGGCTAGTGGAGTGGATCAAATTGTAGACCCATAGTTCAACCTCCAGTACAGAAAAAAAAGGTAGAAAAGAAAAGGTAGTTCACATCATTTTCAGTGGTCACATGTGCTAAGCCTAAGTTTAAAAATATTACATTTTATCAAATCCGATGACATAAATTTCAAAACATATTTTATGTCATTAAAACAGAAAAGGCTAAATTTCTAAGATTCAAGACAAACGTCAACTTCACAGATGCTACACTGAAAAATGTTACTGCCTAAAAATCATTATGATATGAAATATTCAAGAATATGTACAACTAAATTAAAATGGTTTCCTTCTGAAACCCACTCAAGCTATTTCAAGAAATATGTTTCTAGATCTCTGAAGGTAAGAGTGCCATCTACTGAACAATTTGTATAGCTTTTCCCAATCCAAATACTGTTGCTCTGCCACTCCCACATAAATTGTTTACTCTTGACAAAAACATTTTGCCAGAGTGACCACTGATTAAAAAGCAGACTTCTTAGAGACTAGTAAAATTGCTGAATGAATTCATCATTCTCTTCATCCAAAACACCATGTTTATCTGTGTTAATTTAGACTCAAAAAAATTCAGAATTTTAATTACTCATCTTTTGTATTAAATAGACTTCTAAGTACTCAGTAATAATTCATAATTCTCAGTGTTTTACATGCTGAACTGTTCTGTACTTTATTGGAATACAGGGTTTACTAAAATAAAATACAACAAAGAAACAAAAGACACAAAGATATCATACTAAAGGGAAGGAATACTTAACCTTCCATCTCTACAATAAACAAAAGAAATAATTCTGGCATCATTAGACAATTCTTCAAGCATGAAATCAGGATTTGGAATCTGTATACTGGTAACTGCGTTTATTTCTATTTTCCTTAAATGGTTTGTATTTTGGAATGGGATGAGCATAAGGAGTAGAGAAAAGAAGGGAAGAAAGATAATGGGGGGGGGGAGAAAGTCAGGTGACTTCTAAGATCCAAGTCCAAATGTTGACCAATGGAAGAATTCCAAAGCTAAAGAAGAATAAGTGAGAATTCAGGATTAGAGAATTCTTAACTATTACCACGTCACCAATCCACAACTACCCAGGTGAGGCCCTATTGTCACAGTGAAATACATTTATAGAAATGTTAGTGTACAAAATGTTAATGTTTTTTAAAGCCTTCATTTTAGTGAAACATTGTTATAAAAAAGTAATTCCACGTTAGATGTTAATATATTCAAATCTGTCAAATTCATCAATATAGTACATTTTAAAAGCTAGCAAATACTTGTTATATGCTACCTTGGTCTAGTAATTAGCTTACTTCTCATTTTTACTATTCATCTTCGCCCCCATGTTACCTTGGTGGTCCGAGAGTCTGAACTCAGGGTCTTGTGCTTACAAGGCAGTTTTTCTACCACTATGAGCCATACCTTTAGCACCTTCATTTTTACTTTTCTTATACTGTAGATTCCAAGAAGTTTTACCACCATTTCCAGGTTTTTATTAGGGAGATGGCTCAGTATTTGGAAAACAAGTTTTCTACATATTCTTTGTAAATATTTAGAGTAAGTGTGATTTTGAACAACCAACTTAAAAACTGTTTGGAAACTACGTACCTTTTACTGTCATTAACATTAAGTATACCTTCACTACTATGACACAAACCTCAGAGCTACCTTTCACCCTCAAAGCCAAGTTAGAGCAAAGAACTAACTAGTTAAAACAAAATGTATTAGAATATCTAAACTAGAACTAATACTACTACAAAAATAAAATATGTTTTTTACCATAACCGGAGGTGTAATTAGGGCCACGACGACCTCTGCCTCTTCCACTATAAGACCTAGAACCTTGTACAGAAGAGACGGTACTTTCATCAGTGGCATATCCTTTCTCTTTTTCAGGCCCTCTGGTGGAAGAAGGTCTGAAACCCATACCAATCTGTCGAAGCTGTTCATCAATCTGCAAACGTTCCATTCTTAGCTGTTCCACTTCCTACAATCAAAACAGAACAAGGTAAAGTCTTATTATATGTAACTTTATGTCTTCTTAAAGCTTAGAGCTAGAACTGTACTCCCCAACAAAGAAAATCAGTAAAGCATCATGTGTGCCTAGTAAACACAACTCACAAGGTCACTTGCTGATTCAAGTCAACATTTATTGAATGCTTTAGAGTGTGACCAACACACATAAAGGACATAAACACTCCCCTTTTGAGGAAATGCTTCACATAGTATAAAGTTATTTATTAAATAGCTAATAATAGGGAGGGGAAATTAAAAAAAAAAGGTAGTAATTACATGGTACTTCCCGATTTTGCTCTCAGGAAGTTAAAACTGCTAAATGGTGTTCAGGTAACATTTAAGATACTAACAAGCTACTTTCCTAACAAATAAGACACCAGACTTGTGACTTAAATAAATTGACAGACTTGATCATTCCAAAATTGCACTACAGGATGTAAAGATGAGGCCTTCAGACAAAGATCTTAGCTGAAAGGTAGAGCAGTAGAAGATAAAGCATCTACTTAGGATACCAAGTCTGAATCGAAACTTGTTATATAAAGATAAGACTTCAAGGAAGATATGACATTGGGAGAGATTTCAAAATATTAGCACATCAGTAATGATATGAGAACTCAGAAGGAAAACATGTAAGAATCAGAGAACAGTTGAGGCTATATTTTAAATTCTAAATATATTCTAATATTCTAAATTTCTCTTAAGAAACAAACAGGAACAAAGAGAAAGAATAAAAAAACGATTAGAATGTTAACTAATTTATGGAGCATTTCTTTTTCTAAGCTCTTGCTCCTTATCTATTAGCTCAAATAGTTAAGAATTAAATGGGAGCTGGGGTGTAATCAGTGGTACAGTGAGTACTTACCACGTGCAAGGCTCTAGTTGATTCCAGGCACCACAAACACACACATAGTTCACTTTGCAGGTGTGCACAAACACACAGATCAAATGATGTGGATGTGGGATGTGGGGGTGGGGGAAGTGCAGCTAATTCAGATAATACCAAAGTTACCAAGGAAGCCTTAGTTCTGGATTTGTACCCTATCTGCATGTAAACTAGCAAAGAAACAAAATGGCTCTAATATAGAACATGCAGATATGTAAATAATTACAGGCAAATTCTATGAATATGAAAAGAAACCTTTTTATTTTGGTGGTATGGAATTTGAACTCAGGACTTTGCCCTTATTAAACAGGCATTCTACCACTTGAGCCATACACCCCCAACTCCCAAAGTGACTATTCTCTTAAAGGAAAGAAACTTAAATGCTCAGAGAATAGAGAAGAAACAATGTGCATTAAATGTGCATGAAGCCATTTAATTTTCAACAAAAAACTGGGCAAAACTGAAGCTGAATTAAAAATAAATATCTGAAACTTACTATAGACAAATGTAAAAATGTTTTAAAATGTGTGGACATCTGATTCATAGTAAATATACAACATTTACGTGGTAATGCAACAATGGTTACGAAAGAATATAATGTGAACTATATACAAACCTTTAGGTAAGCAATATGATACTCTAAAAGAACTTGCACATTTCCAATACTTTCTTTAGTGCCAACAAAAACAAATGGAACCATCCCCTGGGGGGAAAAACAAACAGAACATCCACATTACTTAATATTTAATAGTTCTAGATTGAATTTAATCACAATATACAAAATTTGGAAAACTTTTCTAGTACACAGCAATTTGTATCTACTAAATTTCAAGACTTTGAAGAAAAATGCTAAAACACACAATATGAAGTATTCTGATTTTCAATGTCCTATTTGTGCTACAATTTAGATCACTAAAAATAAGAACATCATTAAAAAATCAGATTATACTAATTGAATCTAATTTTCCAAGAACATAAACCAACTTTCTAAAAGTTGGGAAAAAATCCCAGAACTTCCTTCAAAACTGGTTACAAACTTTCAGACCAAATACATCTTAATAGGCACAGCTTTAAAAACGTAATTAAATACATCAGCCTAATTACCTCTATAATATATGCTCAGATAAAATACTGAGTATCTTGTGTAACGGGATAATTCCTGACCATTAAGAGACATGACACCTACAGAGTGTAAGCATTTACACAATGTAAAAATAAAGGATGGTACATGTAACAGATATTTAGTCATGGGTAATAAACTAAACCAAAAGATTAACCCAGACTTGATTTACTTGGTTAAACTAACAGGAGTGTTTTAAAAAGTAGGTCAGAAGATATATACGTAAGATGGCTAAGTGAGGACTTTTCTGCTTTGTAGAAACACAACTCTGTAGCTGGACATAATAGTGCATAGTTCTCTGTAACCCCAGAACTCAGGAGGCTGAGACAGGTGGGATGCAAGTTTGAGTTTACCCTGAGCTATATAACAAGACCCTGGAAGAAAAAGAAAGACGAAGAGGGCATACAAAGTGAATTAAAGACAAAGGAATGGAAAAACTAAGCCCTAAAAAATTTTAATCTCATATCATGTCTCTGGAACTGTATTAAGCATCCTTTACCTACATCTTATTTAATGTTCACTAAAAAGATGGGTGTGGTGCTTCAGGTCTGTAACGACAGCACTCAGGATGAAGGCAGAAGAATCACAAGTCTGAGACCAATCTAGGCTTAGGCTCTGTCTTTGGAGACTCTGTCTCCAAAAAAAAAAAAGCCTAAAAACTACTATTCCAGTTTTCCCCTTTTTACCTTGAAAAACAAAACAAGTCGGTCAAAAAATTAACACCTGAGACAAACAATTTATATCTATCTACCTGGTTTCATATAATACCTATTTGTTAACTGCCAAAATCTATACTATAGTATAATGATAAATAAAACAAAGTGTATGTTCTAAAAGCAATTAGAACCTCAGAAAGGACACTAAACATTCCTGTAATAAAATCATATAGCATCAGTGATATGAACAAAAATACAGTAAAGTATACTGTGAATTATGCCACCTGAGGGTGACATAAGAGATAAGAGTATTTTTGTTCTTTAAAGCAGTATTAAAAAATTGAATTTTACCAAATAGATGAGAGGTCATTCTAGACAGATGACTTATAGAGTAATAGAAACACAATACCTTCACCTTGAATACAAAAGGTAAATGTAATCCTTAAAGACATGTAAGAATATATCATTAATAAATACAAGCTCACTTTAAGTTATTCAGTGAAATTCAGGTGTTAAAAAAATTGCTGAGACAATCAACTAGCATTCTAAATCCTATTTCTGATACTTTCTAAATTATGCCAAATAAATTCCAACTGGAGCAAAAACTACATACTTTAAAAAAACAAAACAAAACAAAACCATAATCTATCATGGCCAAAAGTCAAGAGTCATGAAACAAGTCTAGCAAAATCCAATATGAAAAAAATTTAAATGTCTGCATGGGAGAAAAAAATTCAAGTAAGAAATAAGGAATACTGAGCTGTGTGTAGTGATACATGGTTGTAACACTAGCTAGCACTTCAGAGTTCAAGGCTAGCCTGGGTTACCTATCTTAAAAAAAAAAAAGAGTAACTAAAAGCATGAAAAAAGATAAAAGGACTACTTCCTTAAGATGCAAAGTGATTTTTTTTAATCCACTAAAAGACAAAAATATACAAAGAACAAATGGTGATTTACAGGAAAATTAAAGTATCTTTTAAGTAAGTACACAGAAAGATCACACACCCATTCTGGAATGGCAGTTTCAAGTCTAGTATTGGCATCTATGTGGAAAACAGACCCATTTCCACACAGGTAAGGGATACATGTGATTATAAGCAATTTCTAAAATTTTAACTGCCATATGCCTTCTGATCTAACAAATCCATATTCAGAAATTTATTCTCCAGTGATACTCGGTAAAGATTCTCAGGGATGTTTATAAAAACATCAGTCTGAATAGCAAAAGAAAGCCACGAAAAGGCACCAGAAAGTCTAAAATCTATTAGGCATGATGGAAATGGAGAGCCGTGAGAGAATTCAGATACAAATTTGTTTTTCATGTCACACTCTCCCATGGTATAATAGTACATATATTCTTACGTGAATGTGTTTCTTTTACAGTTTAAACTTAATTTAAAAATCCACTGGAAAGTGCAAAAAAAATATTTAGCAAGTGCCTACTTTACAACTGATACCACTGAGAAAAACTGAGCCTTTTAATGCCCCTGGCCATCATGACCCTTAGCTCAGCATTTAACTACTTGTATGCCAATGGATCACCATAATTTTATATACTAGGTACATGGGGAAACAGTAACAATTATAATATGGCACCAGTTTTAATCCTTATCTCAAAGGCATCTTAACATAATGCAAAGTGGGAGAAGGGGAGTCCTTACAATTAGATGAGATATACAAAACACTTTTTAAAGCAGTAGAGTGTGAAATCATTGAGACTACTAACATTGCAAGTCCTACGCACACACCGCATTCTTAGGCACTTGTTTTTCCCTTATTCATTTTTAATTAGATATTCATGTCCACATTCTAACTAATAAAAAGAAATAAAGCAAGTGGCTTTTTTTTTTTTTTTGAAAGGGGGGAGGACACAGGACTAGGGTTTAAACTTAGGGCCTCCAGACAGTTAGGCATGAACCACTCCTCCAGTCCTTTTTGTGATGAATTTTTCCAAGATAGGGTCTCCCCAACTATTTGCCTAGGGCTGGCTTTGAACTTCTCGATGTCTGCACCTCCTGAGTAGCTAGGATTACAGACCTAAGCCACAGCTCAAGTGGCTATATTTAACAGGCACCTTTCCAACACTCAGTACTTGGTAGTGTCAGGATATTTAGCTGGGCTAAATTTTCTACAACGTTCTCCACTGAAAGACTATTTCTATCCAACAGCTAAACTCCCCAAACAGAATTCTATTGTGCAAAATTGAAGAAACTGTGAGTACACCACTTTCTGGGAGATACTTTGGGGAAAACCACTGGCTTATAGTCAGACATACAAAGCCTAAGTAAAATATACAGAGCTGATCACTGGACCCACAAATTTGAGAAAGTTCTTTAAAGTGATAAACAAGCAGTAAACATGAGAATTGTGAAGAAAAAAAAAATTCAACCTGTGAGAAGAGACTAAAGCAACAAACTTGAAGAATTAATAGTAACATAAAAGCACAAAAGAATGTCTACTAAGAAATGGCCAATGTTTTCTGATTCTACAAAAAGGTAAAGGAGCAAGTGGTTAAGAATTCCTTTGTAACACACTGCTTTGATGAGCAGTTAAGATTACCAACTTAAAACCTTTCTATGAAGAAGTGGCTGTTTTGAAGTGTTGACAAACCAACTAAGATTACAAGGCTTGTTTTCTAAGTCTGAAGAATTTATTTACTTATTTTAAAGATAGGATCTCATTTTTTTGCTGAGATCAACTCTGGACCACAATACTCCTACCTTCACCTCCCAAGTAGCTGGGATTACAGACAAGCACCACAACAGGCTAGTTTGTTGAGACAGAGTTTTGCTAACTTTTTACTGTGATTGGTCTTAGAATACTGTGATCCTCCCATCTCTGCCTCCCAAATAACTAATAATTATAGGCATGGTCACCATGTCCAACCCTTGAAGCAATATTTTAAGAGAATTTTTAAGTCAAGGAAGAATAATCCACTGTATCAGAGTTCAACAGATACAACTGTTTCTCACATTATTCCCAAAATATAGCATACTAAGTCAATCAAGAAACATGGAAAAAAAAGCAAACAAGTTACTTTTTAAATACTTACATCTTCTCTGGGTAGTTTATTTTCATTGTCTCCTTCAATCCTCACCCGAACCACACCAGATTTGTCCACTATTTCTTGAATAACTTTGCCATTTTTCCCAATTACTTTTCCTTTGTAAGAAAAAATATGATAAAAACTAATTTTTATCCTTTCAAACTAGCCCCCAAAATTTATAACTTGTTATCAAATTATAGAGGTACATCAAGGTCATTCTTTTTACTTTCAATGAACTCATCTAAACACTACACCAAGGAATTTTATCCTTGGTTGAAAACTTCCTTCTCTTGAGTATGACTAAGGTCAATGACCGAAATTAACAATACTCACATACAACAAAGTTTAAATACTTTTTAAATGTTCTGTATCATTTTTACATTCTAAGAACTCCATCCTATTTCAAAACCTTGCACATATACATAAAAGCAAAGAGAAAAAAGCTATTTTGGCATTAGCTGCATCAATGTTCGTTTTTAATGTATGTTAACACATGTAAATTCCCAATCTTGCATTATTTTTAAGTTTCTATTGCCCAAAAGGCAGGTGACTAGAAAATAACTTCAGAATGCATACTCTCAGTAAAATAAAAATATTTCAAGTGTTACATTTTATACCATCAAAGTTTTATACAAGTATATACATCATATATATTGTCACTGTATTGATAGTTATGAAATACTGTATAATGACATAAAATTCAAAATTTTTACCTTGTCCATACTTGACTTGTATGTCTGTCAAATAGTAGTTATCCATCATACCATAATTAAAGCAGAAACTCAAAAGGGGGACAGGAAGACTCCCCATTAAAGATTAACAAGGTAACATTGGATAATGTCACCTACGTAAATAAGTGAATAGTCTGGTAACCTTTACTGTACAGAACAGATGAATCCCTTATAAAATTAACAATCAATCCATATTTGTTATGAAGTCCACATTATGAATTATTTTTCTGACGAAATCATTTTAATGAAAGCTTCCAACTAATTTTGGTTAAAGGGGTTAAAAATGGATGTTGATCCTATTGCATGCTTGAAAGAGTAAATTCCACTGAACAAGGGAACAATGACAATAGCAAACTGGCCAATATAGCAAAAGCACTCTACTGGCATTTTCTTCTTCCTTTATTCCTACTTCAAACATCCTTCCTTATGAGTAAGTCTAAATTTGAAAGTAGTAGCAACTGAACAGGTTACAAAAAAGATATTAGGACAGGAAATTCATATAACACATATCTTTTCTGAGAAGCCCTAGCAGCAGCAGCATATAAAAGCAACCTTCATTATTAATACAGTGAAGCTCAAGCAGCAACTTCATCCTTGGCCCTGCTAAAAATAAGCAAATTAACTTTTTGAAAATAAGTTGACAGAGGAAAAGTTCCTTCCCCAAATATCTTTGTCACTTATTATGAACTGTACCAGTGGTGAGTAAACATCCATCACCCATCTGGCGTCCTTGGCAGGGACCTACCTGCAAGATTTATTTAGTCCCACCAGAGACCTTCAATATTTTAAATGATCATTTCCATAGATTAAATTCCAGAGCATATTGACAAATTGAAGCAGACCTGTAGTATAAATTGAGCATTGAGTATAAATGCTGAGAGGACAGAGTAAAGAAGCGATTAAAGAAAGCTTCTATGAGGTGAAAGGTTTTGATCCATTTTCAAATCAATGTTCACAGAATATTCTTTGCTTTGATTTGGGAAGGTTGGGAATGTGCAAATTCTAACTCTTAAATTTGAATGTGTAAGTGAATCCTCTCTGGCACTTACCCACCAAGTTGTCCTCATTCTCTTTTATTTCTCAGTCCTCTTTTTCTCTTTCACTTGGATTGAGAATGCACTATTTTTCAAAAGACTGCTTCACTCATGAAAGTATTTTAGGGAAATATATTATTATTATACATGATAACTATCAGAAATTTTTAACTACTCCTAAGTGTTTTACCAATGTGTAATAGTTACTATCAATGAATGTTTGCTGAAGAGCACACAAACAATTCACATTACCAAAGCTAACCAAGAAAAGATAAGAGGAAAAAAGAGACATAACATGTAGTCCCATCACTGCACTGATAAATCAATAGAAGAATCAGAACTACAAATATATTGTTTCCTTATTTCTGAAATACTGGACACTTTCATTCATAATGAATACCATAAATTCTGTAAGACCAGGCTATCTCTGCAAAATTCTTGAGTTGGAAGGAAACCTAATTCCCTTTTATAACTCCACCATCAAGCCATTTTTACAGGTGAGGAAACCTTAATACTATTAAATTATGTTCCACAGAACAGCTACTAGAATATTTGTACTTCATAGATATTAATAGTTTAGTATGATTTACATAAATGCTTTACATTTTCAAAAGCAATCCTCAAGTGCTATCATTTGAAAATAAACTTTTAATAAATTAGTATCATGCTTATTAAAATTACACAAAATTCTTCACGTTTTATTCAACGTTAATCAGACCGTGTCTCTCCAGCAGGTTACTACGTAGCAAACAATGGTACCCCAAGATTTGATAAAATAGTTTACATAATTATCAGTATGTCATACCTGTCCAAATGTTTGGGCAGAATTGAAAAGCTTTTTATATAACTATTAATAGCAGAATTCCAAGAAACTAATTCCTTTATAAACCATTTTTCCTGAGTATACTGTTTCTAGCCAGCCAAAACAAACATCTTTTAAGAATGGAAGTGTTTTAATAGAGGGAGGTAAACTTGTTCAAAGTACACTGTATGTATCTATGGCATTATCACAATAAAATACTTTTGTATTATTAATAAACAGTGTTTTAAATTTTTTCCAATTTATGTTTATAAAGTGTGACAAATAGAAACACTTATAGCTAGCAAATTAATTTTTACAGGCTGAACAGGCCTCGTTATATAAATGGAATGCTAAGGGCTGAAATAACTTCCTGAGGATCAAAAGGGAGCAAAAACATCTCGCTCCCAGTAAAATTTACTACATTATGTTACTGCTTTTTGTATTTACTACTTGATAATCAAAAAGTACCTAACATTTAACCACTTGCTTCAAATAGCTGTTACACCTATAATACTAGCTACTTGGGAGGCAGAGATATGGATTGTGGTTCCAGATCAGCTTGGACAAATAGTTCATAAGACTCCCCCCTCCAAAAATGGACTGAAGAAAAAAACTGACATGAGAAAATGGACTGGGGGTGTGGCTCAAGAGGTAGAAAGCCTGCTTTGCAAGCAAGAAGCCCTGAGTTTGAACCCCAGTCCCACCAAAAAAACCCAAACAAACAAAAAAACCAGGCAGAGTTCTTTGCCTAGCATGCACAAGGCCATGGGTTTGATTCCCAGCAACCCCCGGCCCCCAGAAAAGAGCCACAGCACAGACATAGGGCACATTAGTTTTAGAAACATTAACTAAATCAGCCCAACCTAAAATGCCAGTTGAACCATAACTTCAAACTCAATTTGTCATTTAAGCTTATAACCTGTGGGTACAACAGTTTCATTAATGGTGATAAACAGTAGTGAAACCTCCCCTCATATCTCATCATCACCATTCTTCTCTCCTGCCCATGACTTCTTACCTTATTCTATGCCTTTGCAACAACCAATTATTATTTATTCAGGGCCTACTGTGTAGAAGTTTATTACCCTATTGTTAGTCCACAGTTACTTTTTCTTCTGCACTAAACAAAAGAAAAGAATTATCACAAACACCTTCTCAAAAAGTACCATCACAATTTTGGTGGACATATGAATGATAAAAAGAAGAACAGGAGAATAGGAAAGAGCCCCAAGGATGAGAAGACAAGAAAAACTGTAATGACAAACTGTTATACAAATTATGGGTTGAAAACATCTTTTTTACATTTGAAAATAAAAACGTACAAGTCACATAAAATGTTACCACCAAAACAATGACAGTATTTGCTACCTAAATATTCCCCATTTTTGGTAAGCAGAACAAGGTCATCAAACTACAAAACTAATTTTCAATTAAATTAACTTATATAAATAAAGAACATTTAACTTATTTAGCATTTTGTATAAGTACCTACCAACAAGATTCCTAGGAACTTGAATAAAATCCTCCACAAATTCCAAGAAACCTCTAGCCTTTTTTACGGCATCAGCACTCTATATGGGGCAGGGGCAGGGGGAGGGGGACGGGGGAGGAGAGGGGGGAAAAAAATCATAAATTACGATCCTGGAGCAACAAATAATCCAAAACAAAAAAAAAAACATGAGAAAAGAGAAGTCTAAATTATTGCCCTATACTAGAGGATTATGGCCAGCCCATTGTAGTGACATTTCAAGTTAAGAAATTCACAAAGTACTTACAACTACTAAAACCAAAAATGTTAAGATTCTCTAAGGTCCTTTTTAATCTGCTGAGATTATTATTAATGGTTTAAGTTATTTATGCTACATACCAACTAGAAGTCAAACATTAACCCATTCCTAAATATAATGCTTCAGATTCCCAGGATGTATTTTTCCAGATGAGTGTTAAAAGCGTAACTTTTCAAATTTTCTAAATTGCAGTTTTTCATTCAATCTCAGTATTAGAAATGATTTTAAGTTGCTTTCGCAGAGAAATTTTTTTTTAAGTGTCTACTGGTAAGATCATTACAATTTTAAGTTCTAAGGGTATAAAACAGACTAAAGAGGTAAGGAGGGTCCCTAAAGTGATTTTATATATCTCAGTAAGTTACTTTCTTTCAATGTTTATTGTTTAGTAATAGTACTAACATATTGTGTGCTTACTACTTCATATACCATACACAAAAAAACTGAAAATTAATCATTCTTCACAAACTACAAGGGAAGCATTATCATTTTACAATGGGGACACTTATGTAAGGAAATTAAGAAATTTGTCCAAGCCTACTCCCAGTGTTGCAACCCAGACAGCAGGGCTCCGAAGACTATTCTCTTAACGTCTATTACACTGCCCACTTTTAAAGATTTCAGAAGTAAAAATGAATCCTCTAGTCAGAATTACTATATGAATCATGCTGAAAAGACTTGAAATTTCATCAGTCAAGAAAACATCTATTTTAAGTTAAAGGACGGTCTCAATAAATGTCTGAAATACAGACTTCTTTCCTCTCCTCTGCCTCCCTGCCCTGTACTAGGGGACTGAATCCAGGGTACTGCATATTCTAGGTAAGCAGTCTACAACTGAGGTATTATGCTGAGTCTTCTTCATTTTATTTTGAGACACAGAATCTGCTAAGTCGCCCAGGATTGCTCTGAACTCACTATGCTGCTCAGACTAGCCTGGAACTTTCAATCCTTGTGCCTCAATTTCCTGAGTGCTAGAATTAACAGGCATGTGCCACCACACCTGGCTGAATTATATACTTTGTAAAAAATAACCTAATTTTCTATCCCTGCAAGCGTAACAATTAACTAGTGACAAAATATTATCCAAATTCAAGTCATACAAAAGCTTTTCTATCAAACACTATGTACTGTATTGCCTGTCCTGACACATAGTAAGCACTCAAAAAATATTTGTACAAGTTATTTATTTGTAATAGGCATAAAACAGAAAAAGAAAAAAAAATCGAGAAGCTGTTCATTAAAGAACTTCTGGTAATACAACACATTAATTATCCAGAAAATCTTTTATTTCCCCAATATAAGATCATCTTAATCAACTACTTAAGTAATGATTCCTGGGGTGCTTGATTTTAAATAAACAATTCTACCTCAGAAATATTTCACCAGCAAATGAAATTCCAGATAAAGTAATATGAAACAAGAGATTTTTAATGTTATAGTAAAGTTAGCAGAGGAAGGAAACAACTTACCTCGCCATAGATTCTAAATGTTCCAGTATCTTCATCTAGCTCAATAGCGGTAACTCCAGGAACCTTCCTAGCTTGTTGTATGTTACTACCATGTGTTCCTATTGCCAGGCCCATTAAATCTTCTCTCACAACAAATTCCTCATGAAAAGCTGCTGCAAGTTGTTTTGTGCACTAGAGAGAAAAATTAAAATTCACAACAGAAGATCAAAAAACAGAAGTTTTTTGTACACCCATATTCGTAACATTCACAATAATCAAAGAGGCAGGAAAAAAACTCAAATGTCCATCAACCAATGAGCGAGTAAATAAACAAAATGTGGTTTTTACCTACAATGAATTATCACCCTTAAAAAGGAAAGAAATTTCAAGACATGCTATGACACAGACAAACAAATCAGTCATAAAAAATACTAAAGATTCCATTTTCATATCTCAACAGAATTTAAAAAGAAAAAAATAAAGTACAATAGTGGTTGCTAGGGTCTGGGGGGGAGGAGGAAATGGGAAGTGTTTAAACAGGACATTTTCAGTTTTACCATGTCGTACATGGTAGCACAAACCTGTAAACGCAGCCATTATGTAGAGGTGTATTTGAATACTATCAACTTACCTATATTATTTTGCACAATTCCAGAAGTGTTTAAAAGAATGCTTATTAAAAAAAAATTTCTTAAAGACTATCAGATATAAAGTTGTGTGATCTACAAGTCTGTTTGTCATCTGCTTTCAATGGGATCTTTGATAGATAAGTAAAATGGCCAAAGTGGTAGTACATGCTCTACTCCAGCACCTGGGAGTCTGAGGCTGGAGGATCATGAATAGGGGCCAGCCTAAGCTACATAGCAAGTTTTAGGCCAGCCCAGGTTAGTAAGTCCCTGTCTCCAAACAAAAAATCTGAAAACAAATATAGTACACCCTAATGAACCATACATTTAAAACGAGAATTTTTTAATTTAATCTTTTTGGCGGGGGGGGGGTGCTAGGGATTGACCTAAGGGCTCCACGCTTACAAAGCAGATGCTCAACTGTCTGGACCTCACGTGCAGTTTAAACTTTCAAGGTGGTAAATTTTATGTGTTTCTACAATTTTTTTTTACTGTAATATAAAACAAGAAACTAAGTCAAAAAAAAATTAGAAATTCAATCTCTTAGGAATAAAGAAAACTCATCTGGTATCATAAAATGCAAAGAAAAAATGGTTTGATCATAAATCACAGAATACAGTTAATTCTAAAACAGTTTCCCAGAATTACAAATGACTCTTGTTTTAAAATTCATTTATATAACCCCATGTCTTTGTTTTATATGTCCTGTATTTGACATTTTTAAATTAATGAGAACACTCACAAATTTGTCCTAAGGACAGACATACTTCAATTTCTTTTAAGAGTGAGGGGGTGTGTGCATGTGTGCATGCACATGTTCACTTGAGAAGAGTGAAGACAAGGGGAAGAACAACTATCCTAATAGGGTGGCAGTACACAAAAGGAGAAAACAGAACGTTAGGACAGAGAACCAATGATAGGCTTAATATTTTAAAACTACATTTGATGTGACATCTCACTTCTCAGTCCTCCTCTCCTCTTACTGAAGAATTACAGTGAATTGTGATGACAAATAACAGGAAAGTTAAAAAAAAAAGCTAGAGTAAAGAAAAATTAGCAATAGTTTTTCTTGCCATCCCTAGTTACTAGGTTCTAAGTTCTTTGGCACCTGACACCTAAACTCTAACAAAGAGGCCTTTAGCAAAAGAAAGTCATGTTTGCTAAAAGTAAAACAGAGAACCAATTTTTCTAAGGACTCTAGATATTAAGCACAGAACAGCTTCTCTAATGGCTAGGAAGTTTGAGATATACAACAACATACCTATGAGAGTAAATAGGACAACACAAAAATCCTTTTGTAAGTAAACTCACTTACTTCCAAATGCTTAGTGGCCTCTTCATTTCTGGACATAAGCATCAACTTCGTACGAATACTTCGCAAATGCATGTCACTTAAGATATTTACTCTCTTCACAGTTGCTTCACTGGCAGACTACACCCAAAAAAGTTAATCACTCAAAAATTTAACCAGCTTTACAATGTAACACAAACCAAATTTTCTACAGAAAGCCTTCCTTTACTGTCATCTACTACAGTTTCTCTTAACCTAACATTCCCCTTTCCCTAAAGTAATTTTACTTTTCTTACTGAATGGCTGTATTATTTATATCTGCTACTCAGAATATGTATAGGAGGGGGAAAACCTAAGACACTACACCTTAAAAATTTTGTATCAAGAATACTCTCCTTACTCCAAAAAGGATCAAAAGTAATTAACATTCTGTAGCTACCAAAAAAAAAAAATTCCCCTATACTGGTGATAATAAATCCACTACACATCAAATTTAAATTAAGTTTTTTTAAAATTTTTTTTGTTTCATTTATTTATTTTTGGCGTTACTGGGGTCTGAACTCCAGGCTTCCCGCTTGCTAGGCAGGTGCTCTACCACTTCAGCCACATCTACAGCTCAAGCTTTTATCTTGTGACATATCTAATTATAAAAACTATACAAGCCATTATTTAACAATGTTACCTTACCAGTATCATTAGCTGGGTGGTTTCTGGGTGGTAAAAAATTCTGCATGCTCCTACTGCTTTCTTAAAATCTTTATGTGCGTTTTCATTAGCACACCTAGAGTAACATTAATTCAGAGTAAGACTTCAATAACATTAAAGGAGAGAGTTATCATGCTAACTTTCATTTTGGCATCTCGTATTAGAACTTTTGCTTATTATTAAAAAGACTTTCTATCAGAAGTTTTGACTGAAGAAAAAAACTGTTTTGTAGCACTAAAAACCCTTAATTCAAAAAGCAATAGTAAACAAAATTACTCACGCCTCTCTCAAATCTTCAGGAACATCCACTGTGCACTTAAAGAAGGTATTTTTTTTTACAGTTTTATTTTGATTGACAGGCCGAAGTCGTTCAAATGTGACTATTTCATTGTAAGTGGCATCACAAGCAGCATATTCAATGACATAAAACTAAAAGACATCAAGATACTTTAAAAATTCAACCTGAACAAAAATAATGAACTTTAGGTGAAGTTTTAATCACCTGAACTAATTTAACCAGAAGACACCCCCCCCAATGGCACAAGTACTAAGCATGGATTAATTACATCAGTAATTTGCCGCAACTAGAGTATAAATTTTTATAAGCACGAGCCTTGGTAGTTTTTACATACTTTAAGTGTACCTGTGGGGAGTACTTTTGGTGTTTGCAGCACACACCACAAACAGAAATTAATACTCTAATGTATTTTTGGAATGTCTGACCAACTATTTCTGAAGTACACTTATTTATCTCAGTTTCAAAAACATTCACAGTAACCAAAAATGGAGGTTATTTCCTTGAAAAAAGTTACATCACTTACTTCTCCTTTCATCATCCGAACTTTAGCTAACCACCATCCACATGGTTCTTGGTCATTTGCTCTTGAGTATACCTAAGGAGGAAAAAAGATTCCTTTATCCATTAATCCTAATAATCTCAAGAATAAAAAATATGGGGCTGGCAGAGTGGTTCAAGTGGTAGAGTGCCTCTGCCTAGCAAATGTGAGGTCCTCAGTTCAAACCCCAGAACCACCAAAAAAAAAAAGAAAAGTGGCCTGGCACCAGCGGCTCACACCTCTAATCCTACCTACTTAGGCTGAGACCAGGGGGATAGATATTCAAGGCAAGCCTGGGAAAATACTCCAAGACCTCATCTCCAAAATAACCAGAGCAGGGCTGGAGGTAGAGTGCCTGCCTAGCAATCACAAAGCTTGGAGTTCAAACACCAGTACCACCACCACCAAAAAAAATATCAAAATAACCAGCACAAAATGAACTAGAGGTGTGGCTCAAGTGTAGCACAACTGCTATGCAAGTTCAAAGGCCTGAATTCAAACTCTGTCCCACCAAAATAAATAAACCTAAAGAATGTAGAGGGGGCATACTCAAGTGGTAGAGCACTTACCCAGTAAATGTTAGGCCCTGGGTTCAATCAACAATACAAATAAATACACAAGTAAAATAATACTGTATTACTGAAAGGGGCAAACTAAATGCAGTTTATGAAAATGGTATGTACGCTTAAATTTTACCTCATAAAAATAAGGTTGAGCACTTTGGGTAATTTGGGTTCTTAGAAATCTAATTCCAAATTAATGAAGGCTTACTAAACAAGGAAACACTTCTTGCAAGGCATTTTCACCTAACATAAATTCTTCAGTTCTGTCAGCACTGTTCATCATAAAATTAAGAACTGTTTATGCCAGGTGCCAGTGGGTCACACTGTAATCCTAGCTACTCCAGAGGCAGACATCAGGAAGATCTTGTTCCAGTTCTGCCCAGGCAAAAAGTGAACCCCTTTCTCAAAGATACCCAACAAACACACAAAAAAGAGGCTGGTGGAGTGGTAGAGTGCCTACTTAGCAAGCTAAAGGCCCTGAGTTCAAATCCCAGTCAAAAAAAAAAAAGTTTCCAGAAAAGTCCAATTTTAAAATTACTTTAAGGACATGAAACTTAAGACTTCTTGCTAAGGAAGCTAAATTGAATGTACTGCAAATGCTTAACTGAAAAATGAAACACTGCACATTTAGTCCATCTAGCAAACTACAAGGAGTCTTATAAAAGCTCCTATTCACAGAAAATTGGACCATATGCATATTACAGGCATCAGTCATCCGGTGCCCAGCTTAGATCTTTGTATCAGTTTTATTAATAGATTAGAGCCAGGCACCGATGGCTCACACCTACAGTCCAGTCCTTCCTACTTTGGAGATCAGGAGGATCACAGTTCCAAGGAAGTTCTGGGCAAAATAGTTCAAATGACCCTATCTCAAAAAAAAAAAAAAAAAAAAAAAAAAATCACAAAAAAGGGCTTGGTGGAGTGGTTCAAGCAGTAAGAGCACCTGCCTAGCAAGCATGAGGCCCTGAATTCAAACCCCAGTATCACTAAAAAATAATAGGTAAGAAATGTTTCCTCTGGTTATTAGTTTATTTCTCATATGATAAAAGTAGCTTGTTTAATATATTTTCAACATGAAAGGCAGTGGCTGGCCGGAAAGAACCAACCAAGCACCCTCACAAAATGATTGATTATAGAAACTAAGACTGCCCAAGGAGAGGTGGCTAGAGAAATCTATCAGTAGTTATTAGCAGTCGTGTAGGAAACATATACAAACAATTTTAGAATGCTTTAAGTTTCTATTAAGACCATTTAGAAACATCCTGGAAATGGTGAGAATATTGAATTGTAAATAAATAAAAGTCTAATGATCAACTTTATCTTACAACATGATTAGAAAAAGAGTAAGAAAAAAAGAACATCAATTTCCCATACCATGAGTCAGTGGATTCAATCTGATAACTTCAATTTCTTCTGTGAGAAGATTCAACTAGTTAATGTTTCTATCTTATTTAGAGGCCTTCCAAAGAAAAACATTAATTTTTCTTGTTACATATATACACTGGACTCTTTTATAATAAGTATAATATAGAATCTTGTGACCTTATTTTCCCTGTCTCTACTAGTTCATTTATTTATTTGTTTTTGGATGCTAGCCATTGCTCTACTGAGCTACACTTGACTTTTTAAAAAGTAAAATAAGGAAATACGAGGATGATAGCATCCCCTAGCAGATTACCACAAAGAAACAAATTATTACTATCGAATCACTCTGCAGTTTCTTTACTGAATAGCCTCAAATACTGCATCTTTTTAAAGAAGGAACTAATGAGAATGAAGACATCACCTTTGTGATTCTCAGAAGAGAATTTGGAGTTTATTTTTCTTCCATAATAAAGAAAAGCTATAGGGAAGGCCTTTCATGATCATCAGAGGAATCAGAGACACAGACAGCAGCACTCTAGATTCTACTGATGAATGTGAAATTATAAAGTAGTATCTCAGACTGAAGTCTTCAGGTGACATCCTAGATCAATGTTCTCAGTATATTGCTAAGAAGAAAAAGGAAAGATGGCATTTTCATCCATTAATTACTTAACTGGAACTTTGATAAGAAAACAGAACATCCCGTTTTTCTACAAGGACACGTCAGTATTCTTTTTAACATTATTTGTGTACCAAAATGTATTTCCTAGGTGGAAAAATGTCAAAAGCAGTCAATAAAGTTGACTATAACAAAACAAATGAAGAAACACAAAATTTTCAAAGGATTAGTCACTTCAACTGTTTAAATATGAACATATGCTGAATTTGTAATACAATGGCTATACTCTCCCAAGTTTCAAAATACTTTTCAAGAATTCTAATCTGCAGATGTAAGTGTAAGATGAACCAGAAGTAATGACAATATACCTTTATGGAGATGTATTTTAAATGTGGTATTAGTAAAGATGTGTATATTCTAGGATCATGAATGACTGCTAATGAGGAGTTAGTTATATTTGGAGAACTGTACCCATTCTAGGTTTCATCATCAAAACCAGGAAAATATAGAATAAAATTTGAACTTCAATACCCTTTCAGTGGATTGATACTTCCAGCTTATCTGCTAAAAAGAGGAGCCTTGAAACGACCTAAACCCCCTTTATTCTCTTCACCAAGGTATAACCACTTTGGATCTTGATTTTCATGTACCTTGCTTATAAAACGATAATAAACTATTCTCAGTTGCCTGCAGGCTTTACTTCTCATTGAGTAGTACTCTCATTGAGTACTACTGTTACATTTGCAGGGCTGGAGGTTTAAGCTCAATGACAGAGCACTTGCCAAGCATGTGGTCAGGCCCTAGGTTCAATTCAAGCATCACAAAAGAAAAAAAGACTTAATTGAATTTTATAGCTAATGCTCATTTATGCATTTCTGCAAGCTTCACAGATAACTTTAGTTCTGAAAAATAAAGCTACTCTAATAAAGCCAACTGAATCAAAACACTATGTAGGAACTTGGCTCCCTGAACTAAATCATATACTTTATGTAATGCAGAGTGTCACCGAAAAAATTAAAAATTCACTTTACAGGCTGGGGGTTTGGTCCAAATCATAGACTACCTGCCTAGCAAACATGGGGACCCAAGTTCAAAACCCAGTACACCCCACGCCCCACAAATCACTTTAGGGCTGGATATGTAACTCAGTAGTGTAGCATTTGCCTAACACATGAGAGGTTATAGGTTCCATCCTCAGAAGTGGGGGGAAAAAAAAAGAGAGAGAAATAAAATCACTTGAACCACCCAGCATTAAACTGCACCCTAGTGTACTATGTCTCAAATTTTGATTATGGAATTGATTTATAAATACATCACTGGAGTAGAAATTTCCTTTTTTCACTGAACTCTCTAAACTAACTCATAAAAGCACTTTACACTGAAGAATAGCCCTAATTTCTCTGCCATCCTAAAGCTTTTACAAACCAAGCAAGAATTTAACATGACCATGAGAAACCTAAAAACTCAACAGTACTCATGGTAGAGGACAGAAGAATTGAACTGCAAAAGCCTACTTCAGGATTCTTTCTACCAAATTATCCCAGTCAAATCTTGTTACAAAATGGTTCTAAATTCAAGCACACAACAAATGACTTAAGAATTTCACTCTGGAGCCTAAAGTTTTCATAATGTTCATCTGTACCTTTCAAAGTTAACAAGCAAATAAGAGTAATAGGAACACTACAGATTATTTTTACCAGTCTTCTACTTCAAATTCTCTTTTAAAATGTTCCCAAATTAACTATTTAACCCAATATTTAATCATATTGACTCATTTTTCTAATACAAGATACAACTATTGGGTACTGCTCATATGTATCTGTCATTTAATGGCATAATTTACAAAGAACTATAAAATACACATAAGGAAAGAATGTTCAGCTGGACATAATGGTACACACATCTGTAATTAATCCCAGCACTTTGGAGGCTGAGGAAGCAGGTTCACAAGTTTGAGTCCAGCATGGACCACAAACTTATGACCCTTTCCTAAAAAAAGAAAAACAAACTGCCAGGCATGGTGACTGATCCCTATAATCCTGACAACTTAGCAGGCTGAAGCAGGAGGATCATGAGTCAAGAGGTCTGCCTTGGCTACTTAGTAAGACTTTGTCTCAAAAACAAACAAAAAACACCAAAGTAAAGCAGGTTTAGCAACGTAGTAATATTGTTTTCTCACCTACAACAGTATTATCCCCATTCACATTATGACTGATATTTAACAAATGGATTTCATATCACCTTTCCTTTGTAAATTAAGTCCCTTAAGCACACTATTCCTCCAAAAGAGATAGTAATGAAGACTATATTCAACTCTCCTTGATGTGTGGCCATTTTAGAAGCAGTTAAGACTAACAATGAACTTAGTATTATGGGAAAAAAAAAACTTGAGTCTGAATAAAGATACCTGATCATTTCAAGAATCAAACTCCCTATGTTTGGAGAATAAACCATGCATATAAATTATATACTTTGTATTAATATTAAAAGGGTAAAGGAATATCTGCAACATGCCTATCCCAACATTTTAATAAAAATATAGATGGATAATCTATACAATCTGCCACAAAGCTGGAAATGGAAAGGCATATCACAGTAGCTATAATCAACTATTAACACTGAAGCAAAAAACCTTGCAATTCAAAAGCCATTTTTGAATAAAAACTTCAAATATGTTCAACCAAAGAGAAAAAATAGAAAATCATAGAATTTACATTATAGATTGAGATGTCAGGCTTTCCATGTAATATGTATCTCTTTATGTGTTCTTACTTACTGAGCAAGGCAAGTAACTGCAATAACAGGCAACATGTAATAGTATGAGAAATCACTTGGGGAGATTTCTAGCACCTTTCCAAAGGCCAAAACATTGTATTTTTATACAGCTTAATTAAAAAAAAAACTCTTCATATTCCCATTACTTCAACTATACAAGCAATCTATAGTCAACAAAATCAATCATTAAGCAAGTACAAAAAATTTAAATAATTACAACCTTTTAAAACATAAAAATGTCATAATGAAGCTCACTACTTTGTACAATATACACTAAAAAATAAATATGCCAAGTGCTGGTAGCTCACACCTATAATCCTAGCTACTTAGGAGGGAGCAATCAGGAGGACTGCAATTTGAAGCCAGGCAAGGCAAATATACGTGAGACCCTATCTCGAAAATATCCAACACCAAAACAGGACTAACAGAGTGGCTCAAGGCAGAGCAACTACCTAACAAGTAAGTGTGAGGCCCTGAGTTAAGTTCTAGTACTGCCAAAAAAAATAGGAAAACAGTCAGATGAGGTGCTTCAGGCCTATAATCCCAGCACTTACGAGGCTGAGGTTTGAGATCCTGAGTCTGAGGCCAGTTCACACCACATGAGGGAAGGGCTGGTGGAGTGGCTCAAACAGTTAAGAACACCTGCCTAGTAAATGTGAGGTCCTGAGCTCAAACTCCAGTACTGCCAAGGAAAAAAAAAAAAGAGAGCATGCAAGAGACAGACAAAAAGGGAGAAAGAAAGTGAAGGAAGGAAGGAGAGAGGCTCACTCCTGTACCTAGCTACTTGGGAGGCTGATATTGGGAGGATCCAGGTTCTAGGCCAGCCTGGGCAAAACGGACTGGCGTGGCTCAAGCCATTTGGTGCCTGTCCTGTGAGCTAAAGCCCTGAGTTCTAACCCCAACCCCACCAAAATGACAAAACACAGATTCTTCCCTCCGTGTGTGTGTGTGTGTGTGTGTGTGTGTGTGTGTGTGTTCGTTCGTTCGTTCCATGGGTAAATGAAGCAGAATAAAGAAAATGAAAACAAGCGGCTAAAGGCAGAGGGAAAGGAAAAGGAGAGAAGGGGCAGCAAACTACAAGGAAAAAACCCAACATAACGGTGACACAATAGGAAATAAAACCTTAAGGACAAATTTCTGAAATATATGCTCAATGTGTGCATGTCACAGACAAATAAAAGTGTTTAAGAAGAAACAGGCAGCACATAAGAAAGGATAATAGGCACATATATTAGTGCCACCTGTACATTAGAGTATTTGTCACCAAAGCAGTTTTGTTTGTTTGCTGGGGATTGAACTCAGGACCTCTCATTGTGCTAGGCAGCTGCTCTACCACTGAGCACCCCCCCCTCAACCTTATAGTCTTTGTGACTAACAGAAAATATTAGCCAAAGACTTAACTAAAAACTTCATATACTAAAAACAGTATAACTGTACAATAAATTATCCTAGATAAAAGGATCAAGTTATAATAAATATTTAAATAAATTTTTAAAAACCCCACACCTGTAGAAATACTAAAACCTTAAGGTCACACCAAAAAATAAATCTGAATAAATAAAACATGTAATTTCTTAATAGCAAAAGCCACTGAACACAACTTTTAAAAATACAATTCTGAGAGCAAGCACAATACACACAGATAAAAAGCTATGCACAGACACACACCCATAATCCTGGCACTTGAGGGTGAGAGGCAGACGGATAGAGACTGAGGCCAGCCTGAGCTACATAGTGAGACCCTGCCTCAAACTAAACAAAACCCCCTATCAATAGGGGCTGAAAGTGTAGTTCAGTGAAACAGTACTTGCACAGCATGTACTGTTGGGTTCATGTACATGGGTTCAATTCTCAACACAGTAAAAACAAACCTAAACCAGTTTAGGTGCTGCTGGCTCATGCCTGTAATCCTAGCTACTTGGGAAGCAAAGATCAGGAGAATTGAGGTTCGAAGCTAGCACCTGGTGGCTAGCTAGTTATTTGGGACTCCAAGATGGGGAGCATTGCAGTTCAAGGCAGTCCTAGCCAATAGTTTTCAAGATGCCATCTCCAAAATAACCAGAGCAAAATGGATGCTCTGGTATGACTCAAGGCATAGAACACCTGCCTTGCAGCACAAAGCCCGGAGTTCAAACCCTAATACCACTTAAAAAAAAAAAAAAATCTAGAACCACTGATTTCTAAATCATTCAATGTCTAACATACATGTTTCATTCACAGTTGGGAAGCAGGCCAGATGCAGGTTAGAACAAGACTAAACATTGCTGGACCTAGACTATGGAAAACTCACTGTAACAACATCCTCAGCATCCCATGAGTACTTTTTGCTTAAATCTGAGATTTACACTACTAAGTGTCTAAACAACAATAGCTATAAGCCACCTGAGCTCTTATGAAGCTGAAGGAGGAAGATCTTCAGTACAAGAGCAATCTGGGCTGTATTGGAAGACTCTGTATCCCCCAAAACAGCGTAAAAAATACCACTCAAGACTGACCTCTACACATTTCTAATCCTAGAACGCTTTTTTTGGCAGCACTGGGGTGTGACCTCAAGGCCGCATGCTTGCTAGGCAGGCATTCTTACCGAATGAGCCACTCCACCAGTCCTAGAACACTTCTAAATCTAAGGTATTTATTCCTTGCTTGGCATGACTCTTTGTTTGGTGTAAAATTCCACAAGAAAATTTTTAATAACAAATTTTGGAAAATAAAAACAAGTAAATCCTTTTTTACCACCCACACAAAAAGATGTTAATTAGTAAAAGACACAATGTTGAAAACAATTTCCACTGGAGTGTAAACTCCAAATGAACATGGCACACAGAAGTCTGTAGCATCACTGGCAGGATTCACAATGCCTACCAACTATCCTACTCCACTCTGATTTACAGTCATTTTAAAACTGTTCTCTCACTTCTTCCTCATGCCAGTAATAGCATTTTTCCTCAAGAACACATACATCTAGACTAGTTACAAGTCTCCTTATTAAACAAATAAACATATTAGTACCTACTTTGGGTAAAGCCAACTATAAAAGTAAAATATGACTAACTGCTTATTATTTAAGATATGGGTTCAAAGCAGTCTGACACATTTAAATTATAACATGAGGGGGCACTGAAGGCCTGAATCAGGTGGTTAAGAGTGACCGCCAAAGCAAGCCTGAGGACCTGAATTCAAACCCCAGTACCTCCAAACAAAAAAACAAACAAACAAAAAATCCCACCCTACAACATGGTTTTACTAAAGCAAGTAATAGTGAACAGTGAATTTAAAATAAAATCAAGACAGAATCTTAAAATAGTATTTTAAAGCAGGTGTCAGGGATTGAACCACTGTAATAATTTGACTTCCTAGTACAATAACGAGGATTACAAGAGACTCAAGAAAATTTATCATAAAAAAACAAAGAACAGCTGGGCGCCAGTGGCTCACACCTATAATCCTAACTACTCAGGAGGCAGAGATCAGGAGGATCATGGTTCGAAGCCAACCCAGGCAAAAAGTTCACAAGACCCTACCTAGAAAAACCCTTCACGAAAATAGGGCTGGTGAAGGCCCCAAGTTCAAGCCCCAGTACCGCCAAATAAACAATCTCAATGGGCATGGTGGTACAGGCCTGTAATACTTGCACTCAAGAGGCACAGGCAAAAGATCTAGTTCAAGGTCAGCCTGGGCTAGACTGTCTTAAATAAAACACTGAGCTAGGGCTGGACTGGTTAGGGGTTTAAAAAAAAAAAAAAAAGGTAAAATGCTTGTGTAGCATCCATATGTACCTGGCTTGATCCCCAGCACCACAGGTGGTATTAAGAAAAAACTGAAAGTCATTTCATCAGTTAATGTTCTCCAATTCCACCAATGGGTGGGAAGGAATATCCAGCATATTTGAGCATCTAGGAGGAATATTATCAATTTCTTGAGAATTAAAAATTCTATATCCAAACATCACTACACATCTTGTTGACGATTATTTCCAATTTTCTTTTCACATACACCAGCCTTTTTCTTTTGGAGGCAGGGTCTCATATAGCCCAAAACACCTTTTAACCTGGACTTAGGATCTTCAGGGCATGTGCCACCATGCCAGCAAGAGCAGCATATTAATAATAAACACTGAAAAGAGACAAACACCCAAAACCTACTAAATGTAAAAAAGCAAGATACAAAGAAGCAGTACAATGTAAAATTTTTTTTTTGGTGGGGGGGTGTTGCTATGAACAATGTGCATTCGGTAACTTTATTATCTTTTGAGTAGTTTTTAGATTTTTCCAGACATTTCTAGAATATTCCACATGGCAGTATACTAATTACAGTATTTCACATTTTATTTTATCACCCATATTATAGTGATTACTATAGTAAAAAAAAAAATAGCTACCAAAATTTTAAGATACTGAAGCAAAATCTATAGCAAAAAGGGAAAATAGTGACTAACACCATAAGGTTCTCTGCTAGATTCTTTGAAATAAATAATCATTCTTAATGTTCAAACTATTTTCATTTCAGTGATAAGCTTGATCAAGTTCAAAGCTGCTAAGACATGAATCCAGTTCGGACTCCAAATCTCAAGCATTGCTACATTACTCAGCCACTACCAACAGCAAAAACAGGGGAAAGGAATTAGATTCATTCTTCATCAGCTAAACGTATTTTCCTGTAAGAACATTTACTTAATAGGCACCACAAAAAAAAAAAAAAAAAAAAAAAAAACCATAAAAACACATACCTCTACTTCATCTCCTTCGCTAATTTCTTTTTTTATATCAGGTGGTGGTGGTAATCTAACTTCATTAAATGGAACCTGGCGTTCTGGTTGCCAACTGAAGGATTAGAAAAGGAATTAATAACTTTAAATTATTCTAATAATGTAATTTAACAATACATGGTAGCTATACAGTTTCTGCTTAATGTTGTATTTTTTCCACTTTGTTTTTCATTTAGCATTTCATAAAGATAACCTTAATGGTACATGCATTGTTCGGCAACAAAATAGGCTAAGTTCACAGTGATCTTCAGAGGTGCCAAATAAAAGTAGTGAGACCAACTTATTTCAAACACAACTATATTGCTTGTCAAAAAAGGAACACAATTTCTTACATTTCAGAATAAACTTCAAATAACACATCAGGGTATAAAATGTTCACAGAAGTACAATTCAGGCTTGGAAAGTAACTCAGATTACAGCCTGCACTTAGTGTGCCTAATATGCATTGCAAAGCCGAGGGTTCAAACCCCCAAACGCACACCCACACACAAAGTCTAAATGAATTACAAAAGATTTCATTTTCTCACTTTTATCTTTTCTACAACCAATGTGTGTTGTGTTATAATTAGAACCTAGAAAAGGCTTACTTTCTTTATTCTTTATAACAAATATGAGTTAGAAGTGCTAATTTGGCTCTTGATTATCTAACAGTTCTTGTTGTGTTTTACAAGATGAATTTATAGTTAAAAGTACGGGAGCTATACCAGCACATTAAATGTTCTTAAAGCTTCTATGTGTCAATGCTGAGTAAAGCAGCAGGTTATAAGTAAAAGATTTTAGTGTGATTTCTGCTTCTACTGTCTACATGGCAGATGATTTCAAGACAGAAATCATCTTGGTACTTGTTTCTACATGAAGCAGCTGTTGGACAAAGATCTTTCCAGCTGCTCCAAAAGCAATTCTGAACAGTTCTTTGACCTTCAATCAAGCAGTGCTTTTATAACCCTTACGAAGACCAGCATACAGTCTTTTCCACTTTTACACTACCCAGCCCTACAGTACCTACAGAATTGGTATTATTAATTAGTATAAAACAATTAAAGACAGCTTAATATTTCATTCTCACTACCAATAGCTATTTGAAAGGCCTTCTATAACAACATTTTGACATTTAGGGCTTTTAAAAATTAGGCACATTATGTCACTTGTGCCCTCTACTTCTGCAAAAACTATTCACTGAATCATATTTATATTCTGTTTTGGCAAAGAGGGACCGGAAAAGTGACAAGTAAATTGAGGACAGAAAAGCAGGTGAACAGTATCAAAATGGGACTTACTTGAAGTCATGAAATGATCAAACACCCAAAGTGCCTCCACTCAAAAACAACATGATTTTCCCAGTGACTTTAAGAATACTCAAAAGCAAAGTTTAGCACTACTAATCTTGAAAATTAAGACGGTGACAAAAATAACTTACTTATTTTCAAAAACAACTGTAAGGGAGTCTTCATGAACATCTTTGATAAATCCCTGCATAAAACAAAAATATGATTAAAATCACATCAATGTTAACTGTTAAATATTAACTCTAAAAAAGCTGTAAGAGAGATACAAACACAATGTGGAATACTGAAAAAAACACAGGATTTGAATTTAGGCAGATCTCAGTTTGATTTTCATTTCTAACATTTGTGAGAGGTATGATCTGGTTGTTACCTAAACTCTCTGAACCTCATTTTTCACATCATTATCACCTAACATGAACAAAGAAAAAAAAGGTGTATTTTTGGATCAGAGGTATTACCTAAAGGAGGCAATATTTAGTATTGTGATTATGAGTTCAGTATTTAGTACTGTGACTAAGAGTCAAAGATCTGGAACCTAGCTGCCAGGATTCACCTCAACTTTATCACTTGTATTTAGCACAGTTTTAACTTAATGAAGTGAAATTAAGCTCATACTTCCTAAAACCGAAATGAAATAATGCTTAGTATCTAGCAGAATAAGAACTCAAATACAGTAAGAAATAAAATTATAAATGCATAAACATCAAATTACAGCCCAACTTTAATAAAATGTACACTGAGCACTATCTTTACCTTAATTTTAGTATTTTTTCTACCTACTTCTCTTTCCCCTTCCCTTAAAAAACATTGGACTAGGGATGTGGGTGTGGCTGACGTGATGGAGTGTAGCAAGTGTGAGGCCCTGGGTTCAAATCCCAGCACTACAAAAAATCCTCTGAAAAAACAAAGTATGTCTGGGGTAGCTGAGTGGCTCATGTGGCAGAGTGCCTGTCTAGCAAGCACAAGTCAAAGTTGAACCACCTACTGCAAAAAAATCAATTAATTAAAAAGACATTGAGCTGTATATAATACATTGCCTCGAGACCATAGTCCTCAATAAAAATCAGTGGTCTTAGGAACTAGAGAAAAGGTTAGATCAAAAAGAATTAACCTAGAAGGTAACACCCACGCACAGGAAATCAATGTGAGTCAATGCCCTGTATAGCTATCCTTATCTCAACCAGCAAAACCCCTTGTTCCTTCCTATTATTGCTTATACTCTCTCTACAACAAAATTAGAGATAAGGGCAAAATAGTTTCTGCTGGGTATTGAGGGGGGGAGCGGGAGGGGGTGGAGTGGGTGGTAAGGGAGGGGGTGGGGGCAGGGGGGAGAAATGAACCAAGCCTTGTATGCACATATGACTAATAAAAGAAAATGAAAAAAAAAAAAATCAGTGGTCTTTGTCCAGCCTTGAAATTAATTTTAAAATTAGTCTGTTTTACTCTATCCTAACTGCTGAAAAAAGCTGTAAAGCCTAACATATTCAAGAAAAAAAAACAAAGCACAACAAAACCTATTATTTTGTACAATATATGCTAACAATTTCTTTTAATCGAGCAAAAGAGGGCTAATGAGTGGCTCAAGTGATACAGCGCCTGCATAGCAACTGTGAATCCCTAAGTTCAAATCCCAGTACCACCAAAAATAAACAGGGGATGAGGGGATGGGAGGACTTGGGTGAAGACTAATTTGTTCAAATCCTTACTCCAGTACTATGTACCTTAGTCAAGTAAAAGACATTTTATGTTACTGTCAACCTTTACTCACATACTTAAACACACACTCGAACCAAAGGAGTAATTAGCAAAAATACACCTGTACCACACTGTATTTCTTAACATTCACTGAAAGCTCCTGTTACCTCACTCCTTCCCCCCCAAAAAAATCCATTAAATAACACTAAAGGAATGTTAAGGTATAAATCCCCAAGAGGAGAAAAGACTGCAACAAAAATTTTTAATTTGCAAAGCAGTTAAAAAAAAAAAAAAACTAATACGTAAATGTTTGCTATGTGTCAGATACCATTTTAAGCAAATTACACTATAAAACCAATTGGCAGTGGGGAAACCCAAAAAGCAAGCAGTTCAGTACTGCCCTAGAAAAATCTTTGGAACTAAAAATAAATTTTACAAAACAAATTTAACAGGTAGGACTCTCACTTGTTTTAGTAAGACAGTATGACAAGCTGCAGGAATGTAAGTAATGCTCCAAGTGCCTTCCCCTAACATTTGCTTCTCAACTGCACTTTTTTTTAAAACTTACTCCTATTCTCTCATCTACTTCCAACTGTCCAATATCTCTTTTTGTGTGCTATGGGACAGTTCCATGCAATAGCTGCATAAGTCCTAAAATGCAGGATATTTCCTTCAAGAGTGCTATACCACGTAGTACTTTCTTCACTGCAATACTAAAGACTTTAAAAAAATTCCTTTCTCCCCAAAATTTAACAATTAAGAGCTGCCTGCCTCTCTAGTTCAGGCTCTGAACATCTACAATAATGACTTCCTGGTCAGTTGCCTTTGTAGTATAATGCATATTCATTCACAACAATCATTTTGGTCAGCACTTTCTCATGTTACCAACAGAACATTTATATTATACCATTCATTTCTTAACAAATATTTCAGAAACTGAGAATTCCCAAGTTCATATATTAGTAAATCATCTCTTGACATCAGCAGTTACATCATATTTTCAACTTTCACTAATACTTTCTAATCCTCTGATAAGCAACTTCCACAGAACTCAGAATAAGCCTTCTAGTTTCTGTATTAATTCATATAGTGAGTCAATTCAAATCAGAACTATGCCACTAAAAAATTCTGCTCATTATACTAAAAACCGTTTTATCTATCTAAAAGCCAATCCTTACACTTTCCCCCACAAACATTTCCACCATAAACATCAATGTCAAACTCTATTTGGGTGCACATTTTCCATAAATATTAAGGAGAAACATAGCTCTACATATCTATCTTTACTGTTACTATATTCCAACTACGAGATTTTACTAGATTAAGAATCTAGTATCTAGTCTTTAAAGTGTTTGGGGGTTATTACAAACAATTCCTAATGTTCTACTCCCCCAAATTCAAAATCCTAAGGATAAGGTACTCCTATTAAGGGAAAAAACACACTATCCACAGTTTTGGACATCCACTAGACTGGGGGTTCTTTTCTGACCATATAACCTGCAATAAGGGGAAACTACCACTGTATTCTCAGAACAAAATTTTTAACTTTTGTTCTTCACATATGTACACACAACGGTTCAAAGGCATCATTACAAATGGCTGTTCATTTACACAGCCAATATTTACTTACATTTGAAACTCAAAATATATGTGTGTGTGTGTGTGTGTGTGGTGTGTGTGTGTGTGTGTGGTGCAATTCTATTGATGGGGACAGTACTGGGGCTTGAATCCAGAACCTCCTGTTTATTAGGCAAGGCTCTACCACTTCAGACGAACCCCCAGCCTTGGAAATTCTAACTTATAACAACATCAATAAATTAACAAAGCAGTATTAGACAACTCAAGTGTGGTCAGAATCTTTAAAATGTTATCCTCTGTATTGACAAAATAGCCAAACAGGGTATCATATAGGAAAAACACAGAAATATAAATTAAAGGAAAAACAGGGATGGAGACACACACAGAACACACACACACGGAGGGAGTAGCAGGAATCCCTGAGCAGTGGAACACTATTTGAAAAACTAAAAATCTACCCTAAAGAAATTAGGGGGGGGGAACCTTATGGATTCAGTAAGATGGCAAGTTATCCAACAATCAATTTGCTTTATACACAAACAATTAGAAGATGGAAATAAATGGGCAAAAGGTATTGAACTCACAACAGCAATTAAAAAAAATCTCAAATGCCTTCAACAACAAAAATATGCAGGACCCATATGCAGAAAATGATGAAACCTTAATGACCATAAATATAAAATTCAGAAAAATGTAAAGTACCATCATGTTCTTGGAGAGGTCTTCTTGATAATGTGAAAATTTCTACATGCCTCTTAAAATTAGCCTGTAATTTTACCGAATCCCACTAAAATACAGTAGTATATATCCCTTCTGTTGGGGAGAGAAAGTTAACCTTATTAAAAATCTATCTCATCAGAATTGTCACTATGAATCCCCCCCAAACAAATATATCCTAATGAAAAAATTAACAAAAAGTCTAACTCGAAAAAGAAAACAGAGCACTCAGTAAAAAAGAGAAGAGGGATGCAGATTAACAATGTACCTACCAAACATTAATGTTTACTTTAAAACTGCAATAATCAAGATGAGGGGGAAACAATAAAAAAAAAAAAAAAAAAAAAAAAGGACATCTTAAAGTAACAACAGATTTCCAGAACTATGTCTCTAAGTCATAGAGGAATTTATAAAGGAAAGAAGTTTGGATTATTTTAAGTGGTATTGGGATATTTGGTTGACCATCAGGGAAAATGAAAACGGATGTCTTTCATCAAAATAAACATTAAGGGAAAAAAGTTTCAAAACTTTGTTCTTGTTTGAAGTTGTTTTTTGTTTTTTAAGACAAGGTCTCACTATAGCCCAAGTAAGCCCTGACCTTGGAGATCCTTCTGCCTTAGACTCTCTTGTGCTAGGATTACAGGCTCATCTTACTATGCCTGGCAGAAATTGAAACGATTTTTTTTTAAGTCTGAGTCTATTATCCACAGGCCACATGTGGTGGTGCACACTATAATTCCAGAACAAAGTAGGCTGAAGCAGAAGGGATAACAAGTTCAAGGACAAGCTTTGGGCTACCACAAGCCTTTTGAGACCTGTCTCAAAAAAAACCAAAAAGATAAATTTAAAATCTGAGAGAAAAACTGAATGAACTATGAAATAACCTTGGAGGAAGGAAGGTCTTTCTAATCAAAAAACAAAACCCAAAGTCACAAAGTTTACTGATTTATACTACCACAAAAGATGAACCATGAAGCCAGGCCCCTTGGCTCATGCCTATAATCCTAGCAACTCAGGAAGTAGAACGAGGAGGATCACAGTTCAAAGCCCGCCCAAAATAGTTCTCAAGACCCTGTCTTGGAAATACTCAACACAAAAAGAGGCAGGGCAAGAGTGACTTTAAACCCAGAACTGCAAACCCACCCACCAAAAAGATGTTAACAAAAAAAAAAGGTTGAGGGGGAGAGAACAATG